TCAGCGTGTAATACGCGACCCTATTACACGTCAATCTAACGGTAAATCTATCGTTGGGGGGCTAGAATTCGCTGCTAGCTAGTAGGATCATACAATAGTTTGTTGGTCGTGAGAAGACCGATTTATCGAGTCAATTGCCGTTTTTCCGAGTATTGACTAATGTAGTGGCCTACAACACGTATAAAAACGAATTAGAAAAGACGCATCGAAAACTTCCTAGTGTAGAGCTAACTTGCAGTAACTAAAATACCACACTACGCTAGTGGAAAAAGTGGAAAACTGCATAAAAATGACAGTAAGAAGGTGAACGATACAACTCACTAGATCCACAACGATCCTTGACAGCAGAAGCTAGAGAATTGAGTTGCCGAAAGATGGATATGTAAACGTTGGGATCGTCGTCCGTCAATCCGAAGTCGGAAGTCGGAAGAGTCGCAAGGAAACTCGCTTTAAAAACACCGGCAGTTGATCCTGAGCCCAGAGATGATCACCAGAGAATGGTGTCATTGACGGGCGAAGATAACGGACACCGGTGAAATGGTATGATGCAGGAAATGCAGGAGAGTAAGTAGGAATGCTCAAAACGCCCACGTGCGGTGGTTACCCGAAATGTGTGTATTTCGGACCAGTTCGGCGAAAGCAAAAGTGCGTAGGATTTAAACGAACAAAAAACGTATCTGACTTGAAGGTACAAGGATAGGAGAAGAACCTACACTATCAAGAGTTCACAGTAGTTTCTAAACGCACCAGTTTTACTATGTCAATCAGTTATGGCGCGAAGTAAATTGAAGACGCTTGTAATTATTTTACTTTAGTAAAAATGAGGGTGAAAGTTTGCCAAGAGAAAGGAAAGCCCAAAACTTGCTGTTGGAGGACTTCCCCAAGCGTATAAAAGCACTACAGAGATATAAACATCTCGTCATGGCAATGATACTTTGTCCCATCACGCACAACCGTCTCGACTTCTTTCACCCTTCTGGCTGGCTGGGCCTGGAATAAATACTACATACTTCAATATTTACCTGAGCCCAGGCGAACACCTCGGTCTCTCCTAATCCTGGAGGGGACACCGTCAAGTTAGCATAGAAATGACTCCGCAGATGAAAACCGTTTTCTGGACTTTACAACCTTTCCGTTTGGTTGTGGCAGGCCAGGCTTAGCGCCACTGCGTGAGTCTACTTGCCTTTGCTTGCCAAGCCTTGGGTACTCGAGCGCGACATCCTCCCCCGAACGCCCCCTAGACGCCCGTCTCGTCCTGTCCACCTCACACTCCCAGTCAATTCGTTGCTTGAGGCGCGCGTAATCTGGAAGCCAATGAATGTGGGCCATTTTGTTGGCGTGGTTGCAGGCGACAGATTACACGTGACACCTGCCATCGGCCTTTTGGCAGCCCAATCGATATCAGTCTGCTCCACGTGCGCTCGGAACGGACAAGATAGAGGGACCACCTGATAAAATAGCGCCATTTTGAGGGCATTCAGAGGCGGAGGGCACTCGACGCGAGAGGCAATCACACCCCTGGTGCGATGTCCTGGTCGTCACACCGCCGACCTACAGCTGTCGTCAGGCCGTTGGAAGCCAAGCCTCTTCAAGTTGCGTCAGCCATTAAGTCAGTCAAAGATGGGAAAGGACAAAGTAATGGACCCTAAGAAGCAATCGGTTGGGTTTACCAGGTCTGCACAAGAAAAGTTGCACTTTTTGAGTCGTCCATCGGCCGCCTGCAGTAGGGCTGGCACGTTTTTTGTCCTCCACGATATGGTACCACCGCCATCACCACCACCACCGCCGCCACCACAAAGCTCGTTTCCAGAAACGGAATACCGTAGCAGTTATAATCTCAAAGCTCTGACCTCGAGCTTCGCTCCGAATTTTGTTGCGCCACGTCGACTTTGTGCAGACTTGGTGTCAGAGTCAGCTGTAGTGCCACCACTGCCGAAACCATGGCAACGGGCAGTCGACCCGTCAGAATATTGGAATTGTGGTAACTTTGAGTGTCAGTGCCTGAACCCTACTTCGCCTTTTCTGGCCCCACGGCGAGGTACCATGACCAGATGCCCAGCTCACATGGGTGACAGCAGAACCAACAGTCGGGCGTCATGCGGGGGCGCGTGCCCACCTGTGAACGCAGTACCTTGCGCTTCCATTCACCACCCGGTTACAGCCAATAGACAGGTGGAGCAGGCATTTGCGAAAGACACCTATGCAGAACACCTTTGTCAGCCAATTATCTGTCTGCCCCGAGACCTCTTCAAATATTGTCCGCCGCCCTCAACTCCACCGCCCCAACGCCCACTCGACCACCTCATCCTGCAACACCTCCTTGAAATCAGGTGCGATATTGAAACCATTCAACGGGAGATGTGTGAGGAGATATCTAAAGCAAGGCAACCAAGCCCCACCATGCAAGAAACCCCTGACGACATCACGGATACTGTTCGAAGACTGAGCACCCCGCCAGCACATCCACCATCACGACCACCACCAGCAACAAATGCACCAGAACCACCACCACCAGCACCATCACCACCAGCACCGTCACCATCAGCACCACCACCACCACCACCAGCACATGCACGACAATCACTAG